AATAAGTCACATTTTTTATCCGAATATGAATGTGTGTAGCATTTGACTATGATCAACTACACTAAACACAGTAAGCCAGCATATTCCAACATACCACCCATACCCCATAATACTTCTATCACTACTGTCCACACACTGAGACCACCTGACTGTGACCAGTCAACAATGTGGCCAACATTGTAATGTGGTAAATTGTGCAGTTAATGGCCAAGATAAGATGGAAAGATGGCACACACAGGCAGGGATACCTCTGTGGGCAGCCCCCAACCCTGGATAGATACAGTACAGTGCTCATGTTTATCCTATTCCAGGATTCCACAGCAGTTTTTTTAAAGGAATACCTCAGAGCTCCAGACAAGTAGTGAGCATCCATCATTTTCCTGTCAGAGAGAGAAATACCTGCTGTTTTAAAGACAGGCACCTATTTTACCACAGTGTTCCCTTCTTATTGCATATATTTCTAGTCTTATCTACAAATCACACAGAGAGTGGCATCTGTTCACATGTATAATTCGCACTGCACATTTTCTCAGTTGTATCTCTTTCCAATATCATTCACTGAACCCTCTATTTCTGGTTCTTCACTTGAAAGAGTATCTTGTGACCAAAAGCCATTTATTTTCACCATTAGATTTAAAGCTTCATTTTTACTATTATTTGTTCCCTTGTATAGTTATGACTAACCTACCAGCAACCTTGATGAAAGACAAAGTAGTTCAAAACCACAAGTAAAACCAATATACTGTTTATTGCCACAGATTCTTTATATATTCTATAATGTGGTTTCATAAGGCATGTTAAAGACACTCAATGTGACAGAAAAATGCACTCTGTTTAACATCAGCTGACCCAAATACAGAGGAATTTGAAAACTCAATTTAGCATTTCAACTCCCTCCAACTTAAAAATAAAAAATACATCCAAAATTAATTAATTAAACAAATAAAACAAAAACAAGTAAATGCCAATAAATACATTTACATAATAATTATGTAAAGGGACAATGTGCCATTTCAATCATTAACTCAAAGTCTTAAATAAAAAAGTTCTATCCCTCTCTTGATTGTTGGCCGTCTCTAAAAGCAAGATAATATAATCTTACTGCCTTTCAGAAAGATGGCATTTCTTGGTGTATGGAGGTAGAAAATCTTGGCAGAACTAACTTAAAATCAGTTATTGGGTAATTATCAACACCATGTGGAATATTGCTAATTGTTTGTAAATTACACCACGGCAATGAAAAATTAGATTAAATTTTAAAAGATCCTGTAATCATGTATAACATTAATGTATTAAACAAATGATAGTCATAAACAGACTGGACAACATGCAAGTGGACATCTATTTAACCATGATATCACAATTTGCATCGCAAAATCATGATGCTACCTTAAAAGCATAGAGGCAGCAGTCGTAGTCTTCAGGTGCAGTACATATACACAGGATAATATTGTTCATTTCCATTCACAGCAGTGGGCTATAATAGATCCTGGAGGAGTTACAGCATAATACGAGCCCAAATTAGATACCTTGAATGTTTTACATCCAGTGAACCTTCTACTATTTACTGTATCAGCATGGAAGGAGAAAAACTATATTGTGGAGCACTAACTGTATGGACAAAAACCATTTATAAATATTTTAATATGTTATTGTCAGTGCCCTGACAATGAGATGAAGAGCGATCACCAATGCTTGTAGATATCTATTTGTCTGAACTATTTGATGTTTACGATCTAAAAAAGTGCTGATGCACTTTAAAATTGGCCACGTTCTGATTCTGGCTTCCAAGTACCACAAGATAACTTTCCCAAAACTACACTAATAGGTGTTATCAAGTGTATAGAGGCAATCATAATGAAATTAAATGAAAACTGACATTTTCTCAATGCTCGAGTTTGAGTCCATTAGTGGTGAACGTTGGATAGAGTTACCTCTGACACGTACACTGCTCTAATTTTCTGCAACAATCAATAATCACCACATCCCACTGTTTCCTGGGGCTGTCTGTGGTAGATAATAAAGGGGGAACATTGTCCTGATCAAACACTTAAATGCATAGTCAATTTACCCCCAGACTGATCCAATCAAATACTATAACAGGCTCCTTTTTATTTCTGGCAAATTTATTGAATTGAAAAAATGGCAATCCAGTGGATAATTTCATCAGGAGGCTGAAAATAGATAGAGATATAAAAAGCTATTTTATGGGATATTTCTATTATGTACAGTAGACATCACTAGCTCTTGGAAGATTTCATCTCTTTTTATGGCCCACTGAATTAAAGTACTTACTAGTATATGAAGCCGTCAGCTAAAATGGAGGTTAAGTAATTAGTGGTCTGTTTTCAAAGTTCACTTCTCAGATAAAAAAAGTCACTTACAAAAGCAGATATGATGAACCAATAAGTACAACCTAAATATCTCTCTTAATATCAAAATGCATACAAAGGCATTGTTCTTGGGTTAGAAAAACAACTCTCCAACACAGAGGGTATAGCCTCATCTAGCAGTTGGTTTCTTAACATAAATATTGATCTGTGTGGTAAGAGAAGTCCATCTAAATGATTCCAGATGGTTGAGGTTATTGTACATTTATCACAGCAAGAATGCCCATCAACTGGAGGCAAGAGACCATTTTGACAATCTACAAAACATAAAAGAGGCAGGCACCTGGCAAGGTCAGAGGGGCAATAATACCAGTAACATTATATTATGCAGCCAAAGGCAACCTGGGGTGTTCTTTTGCCTGGGGTCAGTGAGATGGACAGCCACACCCCTTGGTCAGTTCCTAGTTCTAAATTTTTGTCTTGTAGCTTTTATGATATTATTATTAGTATCTATAATATAATATGATATTAAAGCAGTGTCCAACTAAACTATGGAATCTAATGGTTTGATTGAAATTATGACTTTCCTTAATATATGCCATAACTTCTATCAGGATGTGCTCTGTAATGATTTCCATGACCTAGAAAGTGTAACATAATATATCATATGCATGCTCTGCTATGAGGTTAGCAGTGACAATCAGATTTTTTTCCCCAAAGCTTTAGCTTTGCTGTAAATTTTTGCTAATCTGCTAAAAATTATAGTCAATTTGCTTTGGCTGAAGAAAAAAAAAAGACTTTCCAATTATACTTAATTCTGACAGTTATAATGATTTCACCAAATAAATCATATGACAACATAACTGCATAATATAGAGTATGCATTAGCTACTACGCCAATACAAATTCTAGGTAATTATCTATTTCATCACACAAACCATCTGTCTGAAAATATGATTTACTAGTATCCCAATGACTTTACTACAGGGTAAGCCAATTAAATGATAAATATTTTGCTAAAATAAATGTATGAAAAACATCAAAATAAATCAATTACGGTGAATTTCATTTCCTAATACAAAATTAATCTTCTGGTCTAAAGATTAAATAGATTAAAACAAAAAAAATGTGGTTGCTGTTATACAATCCCAACATCTTCAAGAGTCATACATAAAAAAAAAAAAAAACATTTTCATATATCAACAGTTATCTATACCAGTGCTTTAAAGGCATTCATATATCATTCAACAAGATATCCTTGAAAATATCAATACCTACTGACAACCTGCAGACTAATATTACACAACACAAATACATGGGTCATACTTGTTTTACAGTTGTACAAGGTAATATCACCACTCATGATTCTCTATCTTCTTTTATCTCTCACAATGCGGGTGACCTTATCAAAATAATACGGTAATTGTATATCTTTCTAAATTGGTTATAAAACAATACAAATCATAGCCTTTGTTACTCATTATAGAAAAAGTAACACTTAGTTGTTAATCAAAGTTTATCTTTATCAGCTAACTCTGAAAATCAAAACTTGCCAAAAAGTATCTAACAACTGTTATATTATAGCCTAGCCAAGTTTTTCTCTCTAGATTGTTCTGTATTACAATGTGATATACCACATTCATTTAACAAAGGGAGAAGCAGTTTAAGTTTGAGAGAAGCAGTTTAAGTGAAAGGCATCAGTTGCAACTGCAATCAATATATATTTACCGGTATGTTTAATGACACTTTTAACTTGGGTAATTATTTGGAGAAAGTGACAACTGCTGATGGTCATCAATAGGAGTGAACCTGCAGGTATTTGCTACTATAACAGTCCAACAAACATCTTGGTCTATATAGTTTAATGCTATTTCATCAAAACAAAATTTGCTGGAATGAGCCAAAATATATATTGATAGGTTTCATGCAGACTTTCACAAACAGCAAAGAAAAATTAACTCAGACCCACCATGATCATATATAACAAAGAAAACAAAACAAAACCAAAAAAAAAAATGCAATAGTATCATTTAAGACAATTCGTGACTATGCAACTTTATATCATTAAAACTAAAATCAGGTATTCTATATATTATGAACCTTATGAATATTATTTCCTGGACCCCCACCACAGAGGTACCTGTATACTCAATATTAAATGATAGGTATGTATCATTATACAGGTAGTTAATTGTTTGTACAGCTCATTGGGGCATTATTCAGGTAGTTACAAAATAATAATTGGTACCCAAATAGATTCAAACTCAAACATACATGATACTTTATGAAACAGTAAATGATGCCATGTAAGACTCTACAGAACATCAGTATGAGTTCTATTGTAACTTGAAATAAACTTAAAAGAGTCCAGCTCAGCACAGTCAGCAGTGGGTGCAATGTCATCAATATAAAGACTGTCAGCACACAGCATTATGCTCTGTCATTATCGATCATAACAAAATAACAATCAGCTCCATATATCTAAATCTGACGTTTTAAGTGCTGATATTTATACCAATCCAGTATGGAAAACCCGGCCAACACAACACTAATGATGCTGCTGACTGACATAAGTTGGTGATTCAGGTGATTGGGAGTGGACATCTGTTCAACTTCAAAGGCAAGATCAGAGAATGAAGATCCAAGAAATAAAAGGTGCGATAAACTTACGTTCTTTTTCTTGGTCATATCCTACCACAACGAAGTAGTCCGCCAACCGAGACATATCAAATTTTACCGAATTCCGCTAGACACAGCCCCAGTTTCATTCCATGGTCGCCATCTTGAGTTATTGGTAACCGTCTGCGCAGGTTTTTGAGCATCGGTATCATTTGAGGGGAGCAGTTGTTCTACATGCTTTCAGAATATAGGAAAGCGGTTAAGAAATGCAATTGGGAGTAAAAAATATACAAATATTAAGACATAACGACTTAATAGATGTACAAAAATATATAAAATTTGCATTTATTTGAGCTAGTGTATATCCAGAATGTTTGAAAAAAGAGAAATAAATATACATAATTATGCTCCCTGACACATGCGGCCATTGACTGTGCGACAAAATGATTCTTCTGAGGGGTGGATACATTGATGGTAGTTAAGTCATTCTACAGTTATACTAGTTGACTTCTAAAAGCAGATTCACATTTGTCGTGCTGTATCCTCACCCAGGCCATAAAAACATGGCGTATTATCAACAATACGGGTCTGGGAACTGGCCCAGCCAAAATACCCAGCAAGACGCAAGCAGGTGGCAAATGCAGGGCCAGACACAGGGGATGGCTGCAGCACCCTACAGTAATCAGGGAGTCGGAGTAACTACCCAGGGCACCTACCCACACACATATTACGATCAAAATCGTCTTATGCAGCAGTCTCCAGTGCCTGTCTCTTATTATGGACAAGGACCTGCTTCTCACTCCCAGCCTCTTCCTCAACAACTACAACATCCTCAGCAGCATCTTCAAAGCCAAATCCAGGGTCACAGTAGTCCTCAAATACTAGGCAATGCCCCAGCATATACATCCATGTCTGGACCACCACTGGGTAGCCATTCAGGTATACTGAAAACTCCAACTAACCCTACAAGAGATGGTCGTCCCCAAAACAAGATGACTTTTAAGCAGAAGCTGGGGATGAAGGGAGATCATAAATTGATTTCAAAGAACTCATCCACTGCTTCTAGAACAGCTGGACAAGAGCAGAGGGCTAAAATGGACAAGAAAGTAGATAGTAAGGGAGAGGAAGATACAGAGACAAATTGGGGATATTGTGATTTATGTGAAATTGAAATTAAAGGAAAAACTGAAATGGTGTGTTTTCCTAATTTTTTCATTTGAACTTGTTGCCAATGTATGTAATGTTACCATTATTGCAGAAATGTGACTTCACAAGAAGAAATTAGTATACAATGAATTCAATAAATTTTTATTAAATATATAGCAATCAAGTCAGTTAAGTAAACATGCATTTAAAAGAGGCATATATTAAACCTCTTGGATGTGTGTATAGGAGGCTACCTGTAAGACATAAAATGGTGTGTCAGAGAAAACCATCTGGATTCACTGTAAGACATAACAGAATTTCTTTTTACATACTTATGCTTATTTTTAGTCAAATCAAAATGTTGACTAACTTAAAGCGGGGATAGAGTTGGGATAGATATAGTGTTAGATACACTTTCTTCACCCTAATGACCACATGATAAACATCTGGCTAAAGTGTATTCTGGTAGAGTTAGCTCAGACCTGGTTAATTATGGCACAAGTTCTTTGTAAAGTATATTCTTCCCTTTTTCTTTTTATAGCATTATAGGCAACATTGTGAGGGCATAGTGCATATGAAAAAGATGGTTGACAGGATGGTTAAAGAGAAGAAAGAGAAAGCAGACAAAGAAGCCAAAGAAAAGGGAAAAATTGACAGAGAATTACAGAAGTCGGACATTGCTAAAAAACCTGAGGAGAGTGGTCCATTACGCCCAAGTGATGGTTTGAAGCATAAAATAAAGATGGAACCCCTTGATAAACCCTATGTGACACACAATTATTGTAAGGTGTGATATCTCTGTTCATCACTTGTTTTGGTTGTTTTATGACAGTTTTACTCATAGAACATTTTTTAGGACTGATTTTGTGTTGTTCAGCTTGGTATCCAAGAAGACTTTCTATTTTTAATTTATTATCCTGACAGGCATAATGCCAATTTTACATTTGAAAGTTCATCTCATTATATCCGCTTAAAATGGGAGAGTTTAAGGGAAATTTGTTTGCAAATTGGTATCCTATGTTTGTGATATGAATGGTGTTATTGAGTAGCAGTAATTTTTGATATTTTTGTGTTTTTTGCCCAGAAGAAATTACTCTGAGTTTTGTTCCTGCTGATGGTAATCTTGTTTTCTTAGATGTTTTTGTAACTATCAGCTGACTCTGAATTTTATATACAAACATTTTTTTAGCAGAGGCACTTAACATTTAATATTCTCTGGATTTCCCAAGGAGCTTGTTCCAAATATGTACAGTATACTTGTTTATGTATTGTCAATTTAGCACCAAAATGTGTGTGTATTGTGACCAATTAAGTTTTCTACTTTTTTGTGTATTTTAAATGACGCCATAGGTTTTAATTTTTTAAAAAGTTTATTTTGAATACCAGCCAGCTAAAAATACAAATTTTATCTGCCAACATAATTTTTGATATATATTTTACCGGGCATTGACCAGATTTTGTCTGAATGTCAGAGTCTTAGGGCGCATTCCCATAGATTTTAGATTGATCTATCCCTGTGGGGAGTCTCACTAGATTACTATCAGATAATCCGGCTTAAATGTCCGTCCCGCCTACTACAAGCTGTTAGGGGGTAATTAACTTTCGTGCCTGCTCGAGTGACACCTATTAAGTGTGAACCCCCAGGGAGTTGGGTCGATCTAGTTGGATCGATCTAATCTCTGGGAATGGGGTCTTAAAAAAGGTTGATGGTCTAGTTAAAAATGGATAAGTAGATGTTTTTTACTTATAGACAACTCGAAACCCAGGTTATGATGTTGCTGTGACATGCTGAGATATTTGGATTTAAAATTGGTGTTTATTTCAGATTTGTAAGACAAACCCAAGTTTAATTGAGTTGGACCATGTTCCAGGAGACGTCCAAGGACCAAACTCTTCAGCTGTAAGTTGTGAAAATGTGTAACTTTTTATGAATGTTTAAAGATCCCCAGTGTAGGATTTTCCTCTGAGGAACTTGTTTCTTAATGAAGTTTCAAATTGTAAATGGTATTTTTTTCCACCAACCTTTGATCCTCCTTTCCTGACTCTTATCATAACTATGTAGCAATCTGAGAAAATCAAAAAGTCATTGTAAAGCCTGCAATCACTTCAATAACTGACTTATAAGTAAGGCATCGCACAAAACTTTGTCATGAAACTTCACAGGTGACAAGCTTCGCAAGAGGTGATAAACTAGGTGTCATCAAATTATGACTTTCAAACAAAAAAATGTATGTTTAGAATTTTATTTTCTATGCCCTTTTGAAAAGTGTTTTGTAGTGTTAAGTTGCAGATACCCAAGACATTTAATTTAAATATATGTAATTNATAGACAACTCGAAACCCAGGTTATATACATGATGTTGCTGTGACATGCTGAGATATTTGGATTTAAAATTGGTGTTTATTTCAGATTTGTAAGACAAACCCAAGTTTAATTGAGTTGGACCATGTTCCAGGAGACGTCCAAGGACCAAACTCTTCAGCTGTAAGTTGTGAAAATGTGTAACTTTTTAGGAATGTTTAAAGATCCCCAGTGTAGGATTTTCCTCTGAGGAACTTGTTTCTTAATGAAGTTTCAAATTGTAAATGGTATTTTTTTCCACCAACCTTTGATCCTCCTTTCCTGACTCTTATCATAACTATGTAGCAATCTGAGAAAATCAAAAAGTCATTGTAAAGCCTGCAATCACTTCAATAACTGACTTATAAGTAAGGCATCGCACAAAACTTTGTCATGAAACTTCACAGGTGACAAGCTTCGCAAGAGGTGATAAACTAGGTGTCATCAAATTATGACTTTCAAACAAAAAAATGTATGTTTAGAATTTTATTTTCTATGCCCTTTTGAAAAGTGTTTTGTAGTGTTAAGTTGCAGATACCCAAGACATTTAATTTAAATATATGTAATTATATTTGTTTTTTGTTTGCTTGTTAGATTTCCCCCTTAAAGTCTTAGTCCTCTGTTATTGATATAAGTAATATTTTTTAATATGATTTTGTTCATTTTGTTCTGATCTTATTTCAGATGCCTAATTTGAGCCTGCCAAACAGGAAGATGAGATGTCATATGGAAAGTCCAAAACATGCTAAGGTGAGGTGTTTACACTGTAAAATATGTAATTGAGATATAACTATGATATTTCACTTGCTTAAAAATGTTGGGATAAGCCCTTAGTATTCCTGTACTGATGCTCATAGCATGGTCTGAAATTACTATATCTTTAAGTGAAAATACACTTTTTGTAGAAGTAGTAGAGGGTCTTTAAAGTTTTTGTTGGTATTGTTTCAGAAGTACTATATACTAGTTATACATGGTGCAGTTAAACCCAAAAGTAAAGAGCTCCAGGTGGGTAGAAAACCTATGTAAAATTTACGTGTACCTGATACATACTCTAAAAACTGTCATTTACACCTCATGCAGCAAAATCTACATTTCAGGTATTTTATGTGTAATTATTTTAGATCTAGGCATTAACTAAACTAAAACTTGAATGCTTGTGTAATTCCAGGGAAGGGGAGGATCTATTCATTGTCAATTAAGGGGTTTTTGCAGTAAGCTTTTAAGTGGGTTGCCATATTTGTTCAGCAGATCTATTAGTCTGCTGTTGTGAATGTGTCCTATATAAAACAATTACCTGCATTTTGTCACATATAGCTTAAATAATGCTTAAGGTCATAACTCATATTTTGCACTTTGGTTTTCTTATTATTCTATCTGGTTTTTGTTTCAGAAAAGGATAAAAGCAGCCCATGGAAAAATGCCTGAAGGGCAAATTATGTACGTCTGTGAGGTAAGAATATATGAAAAGTACTCTTATTAGTATGCATTGCAAGACTTCAATACATAATTAGGTACCCTTTATATTTGTTTAATACAGGAAAGGGTACATGGATTATAAACGATGTAGAGAGAAAATGGGGTCAAAAACATTTTTTAGAAAGACATTAACAGGGCCTTTACAAAATGTAACTTTAAAATGTATCTTAGATACCATTTCAATTTGATGATAAAAAGTGAAGTTGACATTGGAAAAATAAATAAATTTTATGAAATAATTCTGGTGAATAATTTCCAGCTTTTTCCTTAAGGTGAAATTTGTTTGAATTACTTCGTAAAAAGAGTATCGTGAAGAAAACTTTTTTATTGTTTATATACAGATTTGCCAGCGTGTGATGAATGGAAGTGAAAACTACAAGGGTCACATAACATCAGGAAAACACCAAAGGGTATGCCTGTGTTACATAAACAGTGTGATTGTTTTTTTTTTTTTTTTTTTTTTTTTTTTTTTTTTTTTTTTTGTCACATTTGAAGCACATATAATGTGTTATTTATGTCTTCAAACTACCCAAGGTGATAAGCAATTGGATAGGATAAACACATACGTAATTTTGATAAGAACTTTCCAGTCCATGATGCTAATTTCTCTTCAACGGTGGGAGGATAAGGAGATGATTAAAAAGCTTATCATTCTTTGAGAGTGTTTGTTATTTGTCTGTATTTTAAACTTTGTTTATATTAAAGATAGATGTATATCAAACAATTATGTTTGCATTTATTATTTTGTTTATTTGTAGGCAGTAACATTCTACTTCTCTAAAGTTTCATGTAAGTATGAATCGCTGGTAATTTTGAACTAGATTTAGTCGGGTTTCAACTAGTTCAAAATAGCAGACATTAACATGTCACATGAGTAAAGAACCCCGCACATCAAAGCTGGCTAATCAAATACAGAAGTTGATTTGATAATCTTAAAAATCATTAAAAATCTGGAGGTGGTTGGATGCTATGTGATGTATTCTGGTTTCTAGGTACTGACAGTCCTGCAGCCGTTTCTGAAGCAAATCTTACTGGTAATGAGACTAGCCCATGGAAGGCTACAGGGATATTTGACAGGAAAATCTCATCAGCATTGGGAGGGTCTGGTGCTCATACTCAATACAGTCAAAGCATGTCAACTGGAAGTGTTCCAAGTTCAGAAAATGCAGGTTATAGTATGATACAGGTCAGTTAAATAAAGGTTACTCTTTCTTACTGACTGCAGACTCGTCTATTTCAAGTAGGTTATTATCCCATCTCAGGATGGAGTCTTATTTGATATCTTTTTCTGATTCTTAGATTTGACACTAAATTTCATTAAAAATCTAAATGTTGTATATATCTGTGGTTGATCTTCAAGTTAAATATTAAAGCAATAAAATCTTTGATTTTATTTTAATTTCACCATACCAAATCTTTCATTTTGGTAACTTGTTATTTTAGACTTACATCTGAGAAATTGTAGAAAATTGATTAAAAGTCTGTTTCCCAACTTGTCAAATATTTTCTAGTTTTTTAAATGCTTTTTTTTTGTTAGTGATGTTTAATGATGACATGATGTTCATCCCCAATAAATATGGATATACTTGGTGGCACTGCCACACACACACTTCTGAAACCTTGTTACATATGATATTTACTCGTGGCCTGTGTTGTATTGAGCATTGTATGTGTTGCCTCTATAAATAGAGACTTAAAGACATTTCTAGGGGCCAACCATGCATGCCAGTTTAACTCAGCCTTAGTAAATATGCAGTCTCCCTGTTTAATACTGGATCTTGATGTCACACTCTTGTCTTTTATACTATTTCATCTGATTGGTAGTCATTTTAGTTTTCTGAATGTATTTTAACACACTGGTCTGTATGAAAAGAATTCTGTAGATTCAAGCAGGCTTGAAGGAATAGATTTGAAGGAAGGGGACCAAATTGTTACGGAATGAGCAAGTCAGAGGAACTAAGAAGTTGAATTAAAGGCCTTCTGTACCTGGTTTCAGTCAGCATCAAAGTTTAAATGTTGATGCAGTTTTAATGCTTTGTGTGATGAAAGTATGACTAATACCGTTGATTGTAAAGATAAATGTTTTGGGACAGTTGTCCTTGAGGTAGACTAGTATAATCTGTATGGGTGGCATTTACATTTATTTTTGTTATTTACCAGAGCAGATATCAGCATTTCAACTTTGTCATGCAGTTTTGCACAACATGGTGTCATATTGTTTTTGTCTTCCCTCTTCCACTCATGTCTTTACATAAGCATATTGTGGATTCAGGAAAACTGCCTAGACATATTTTCTGATTATTTGTGATGACAAGCCTGTTTTGAGTTTGTTTCTACTCTTTTGAGTTGCTCTTTGCACTTAAATGCCATTACCTGGAGTTTCACCAGAAGTACAGTGCATTCAAACCCGAGTTCTCCTAGGTACACTGCTCTGACATGTTTGCTATACCATTGATATAGGTGCAGTTGACATGTCCATCTCATATTATAACTATGTTGAGGTCAACATGTCTTTGATGTTAACTTCCTAAATCTATATTGTTGTGCATAAAACCATGGTTTGCCTCAACTTTGGGTCATCCTGGTTTTGTTACAGAAAGTTACAATTAACATCAGTGCAAAGTCACCAACTTATGGGCAGATGGTGCTTGTATGTGTGCACTTAGTGACCATTGATCTAAATGTGCTCCACATCTAGAAATACACCAATGTCTGTGGTTTGTGGCATTTGCATATTTGGTGTGAGCATGTAGGACTTCATGACCAGGGTTGAACTTGAATCCTGAGTGGCAGCTTTGTGATATGTACATTCCATATACCTGTGCCTCACATATTGTGACAGTAGCAAACATTTATGGAAATTGAATGAAAACACGTTATATGTTCAGAACACATGCTTTACCAAAATTTGTCTTTTTCTTTCAGCATGCCTTTGGAACCATTGTTGAAGAACCTTTTTAGTAAGTTCTAAATATGATTATTTGATGTAAATTCATGCTTTTTATAGGGAGCAACAGCCACCCAACATCCAAGTATTGTACCACCTACTGGAGGTTATGCTGCAAAACCAGTTTATTCATCACCGCAACTTGAATGGCAATACCAACAGCCTGGAAAACCATCTCCAGAGCAATATATACCTTTCCAACAGCAGCAACACTTTGTGCAGCAACAACAGTCACTTCAGTCACAGCATCATTTACATCTCCTAGAACAGCAAGAGAAGTTTGAAGCAAGCATTGCTCCACATAATTACCAGTACCCTAGTGCAGCCCTTCATACCACTGCAGGTACTCAGAACCCCCATGTTCAGACAAGGGAGAACTTTCCAGTGAGCTCGGCAACTACTGCAGCACCAAAATCTTATGATACTGACAGGGCGCAGCATGCCAAAGAGAGGAACATGTTTGGAGGGTCAACAGATGCATTTGATTCAGTAAGAAGTTATGGACAAGAAGAAGAGAGAAATTCCAGAGAGAGAGGTGATTCTGCTGGCAGAGTTTGGAATCCGGTCAGAGATGATGATAAAGGTGGAGAAAGAAGTCAGGCTTATGAGGGCAAGATAGATAGAGATAGGCTGAAAGATAGGCTGAAAGGGAGAAGGAAACAAAGAGCTAGCAAGGACAAGTGGAGTGATGTTAGCGACCATGAGGCACAAAAAGTGGAGTTCCCAAGGAGCAGAAGTCCTGAAGTGGAAAGGCATGACCAAGGATCTCCTAGGAAGAGAAGAAACCATTCATCGGAATGGACATCCCCTAGAACAGAGGACAATTCTGAATCTTTATTTCGGAAATGGTACAAATGTCACTTTGATACCAATTTCTCCGGAAGCTTCAGTAGATCCCATGCTCTGTGGGGCAGTTTCCAAGAGTTTCACCAAGAGTACACAGTGTACAGAGCCAAATACCCCCAAGTCGACTTTGATAGTTACTGCAGATTGTACAGTGAAGGGTATTTTGACGAATACTACATTCAGTTGTATAATCTCAAGGGGAAAGCATTTGATAGAGTTACACCTGGGAACAACTCAAACACAACCCCTGCAAGTGACCGTGGAGCTGTTGGAGGTACGAGTGCTTTCCCAGCTTATGAAGAAACCTTTGAAGAATATTGCCGCAATTTCCCCGATGTTACCTATCTCACTTACCGTGATCTCTACTTACGAAAACATGATGTCGAGCCACCTGATGAAAGAAGCAGTGAAAAGGCTTGGGCAGAAAAACAGGCAGAAAGAGGAAAATCACGTTTTAAAATGTATCCACATTTTAATGAAGACTATCAATCCTACAGCCATGACTTTCCTGAATTTAGTGAAAAGGTCTATCAAAGCTTGTATATAGAAAGATATAAAGCAGACCCACCAAAATCAACTGCCTACCCTCACATCAATGAAAACTACATAAGCTTCAGGAAGGACCATCCTAACATTACCTTTGATAAATATTGTTCATTGTACAGAGAGAAACATTCAAAAGATCCCCCAGAAGAAATAGACAGGCGTCAGAAAAAGAAAAAAACAGACGACCATGAAAGTAGCAGAGACACCAACAGACCAATTATCGACTTTGCCTTCTATCCTCTGTTCAGGGAGGCATATGAAGATTACCTTGAACGCTTTCCAGGGACTGACTACACCACTTACTATGATCTGTATCGTGAAGTACACCATACTCATTACAGGGACAGGCTGGAAGAAGAACCAGTAAGAGAGTTGAGGAAGCCAAAGCATGTCTTTCCTGGTTACAATGAAGATTATGTGACTTTTAGAAAGGAATTTCCTGACATGACCTTCGATAAGTATTGTTCATTATACAGGGAGAAGCATTTGAAAGACCCCCCAGAAGTGAGAAGACGTCAGCAAAAAAGGGAAGCTTCAAGAGATGAGGACTGGTACCCACTCTACAGAGAAACATATGAAGATTATCTTGAGCGTTTCCCAGGTACGGACTACGACAGTTACTACAAGCTGTATCGTGAAGTACACCACACACGTTACAAGGATAAACTTTTAACAGAAGAAGATGGTAAATCCTCAAAAATGATCTACCCTCGACTTAATGAAGATTATTTCACCTTCAGTAAAGAATTTCCAGATATCGCTTATCAAGAGTACTTTTCCTTGTATTGGAAAAAACACAAAAGGGATCCCCCTGTTGAAAAGGTTAAAGCTAAAGAAGAATCCAAGATTATCTACCCTCAATTAAATGAGGATTTTTTTACATTCAGAAAGGGATTTCCAAATATCACATATGGAAAGTATTGCTCCTTGTATCGGGAGAGACACCAAAGGGAACCTCCCGATGAAAAGAGAGGGAATGAAAGAAAGGTGGGAAAAAATGGAAGAGATGAAGGGGGAAGAATGGAAAGGAAGGCAAGTTTACCAGAACACTTGGTGGAATCTGCTAGAGAATCTAATGTGAAGCAGGAATCCTATCCATTGTATAGAGAAACTTACAATGACTATTTGATACGCTTTCCTGATGCAACCTATGAGGCCTACTATGATCTGTACAAAGAGGTGCATCAGACTAGATACAAAGACCTTGTAGCAAAGGATCTAAGCAAGAAGGCAATCACTCCTGGGAGCTATGCGGGCATTATTGAACCAGTGCCATCTTTATTAAGTCTTCCAGAGGTTGGGAAACATGAAAGACATGAAGGGGAAAGAATTGAAAGCAAGGCAGCCTTATTAACAGAAGACATGGTAGAATCTACTGGAAAATATATTAGGAAGTGGGACTCCTATCCATTGTATAGAGAAACGTACGATGACTACTTGGACCGTTTTCCTGGTGCTGCCTATGAGACTTACCATGACTTATACCAAGAAGTACATCGGACACGATACAAAGAGCTTGTAGCAAGGGATCTTGAGAAAAAGCCAGTATCCATTGGGGGCTATTCGGGAATTATTACACCAGTGCCATCTTTGTTGGATCTTCCAGAGGTTGGGAAACATATGAGAGATGAAGGGGGAAGATTTGAAAGGGAGAAAGGTTTACCAGAAGACATTGTAAAATATACTAGAGAATCTGCTCTAAAACATGATTCCTATCCATTGTATAGAGAAACTTACAATGACTATTTGGTTCGTTTTCCTGATGCAACCTTTGAGGCCTACTGTGACTTATATCAAGAAGTGCACCGCACACGATACAAAGAGCTTGTAGCACAGGATCTTGGCAAGAAGGCAGTCAACCTTGGGAGCTGCTCAGGAATTGAACCAGTACCATCTCTATTAGGTCTTCGAGAGGTTGGGAAACATGAAAGAGATGAAAGAGAAAGATTTGAAAGGAATACATTATTACCAGAAGACTTGGTAGAATCTACTAGAAAATCTAATGTGAAGCAGGATTCTTATCCATTGTATAGAGAAACTTACAATGACTACTTGGTTCGCTTTCCTGGTGTGGCCTATGAGACCTACCATGACTTATACAAGGAGGTGCATCAGACTAGATACAAAGAGCTTGTAGCACGGGATCTGCATAAGAAGCCAGTATCCACTGGAGCCTATTCACGAAGTATTGCCCCAGTGCCATCCTTATTAGCACTCCCCGTTGCCAGGAAACATGAAATAGATGATGACCTCGGCACAAATTCAAACAGAATGATATACCTCGAGCCAAATAGAGGTAATCAATCATTGGTAATAGGTTCCAAGAGGAGGAGAGACATGGCGGCAGGTGATATACATGATAGAGTTGACCACCCATTTGGTAACCAAAATGAATTTGTCAATACTTTTGAAAACATGGTAAGTTTATTTCCAATTTAGGTAGTAAATATAGATTGAAGTCAAATTTTTAAGTGATGAAATCAAGGGAAATAAGTGTTGTATCAGAATTTTTAAATTTCATGTTAAGTTTTGTTACATCTTATGTGCGCTATTTGGTGATGTTTAAGGTTTAATTGTCATTATCCATGCTATGTCTATGTGTATAAATAGTTTCATAATGCTGATTACTGTTTTTTTATCAGGATGGAATAATGAACACAGTCAACCTTGAGCTAGTTCAGCAATTTCTAAGGCAGTCGGGGATGGCAGGCTTTCAGCAGCTTCTTGGTGCTACACTTAGTGGGGAAAGCCAGCTAACCACTTTCATGGATCAGGTAAAACTGGTTTGAAATGATCTTGGGCGATGATAAAATATTACAAAGAAAAATATAACTGTGGTGCTGCTTTGTTTTTGTTAATAACATATAATATACCTCTTCTAGGCCAGGGCCCTGGTTCAGGCCGAGGCCAGGAGTGAATTGGACAATGCAATACAGCAACTTATGCAATTGCCAGGAGGGGACACTTGCATTGCACTTATCCAAGCTTTGGCTAATGCTGGACCAAAGGTATTGACTACAATATTTGAATCCTGATGTATAACAAGATTAAATAAATTGTAGTGGTGGAAATTTATCTGCTTTTCCTCTTTAAAAGTGAAATGTCATCAAATAAATTTTATAGCTATTTCAAGTAATTTTTTTAGAACCGGTAAATTGTTTTCAAAACTTAAAATGAGTAAAATGATATTTAGGTAATTAATATAAAAAAGTCATTTAAAAGTTAAAAGCACCTGGGAGTTTTACAAGTATTTGCTCAAAAGGCTGTTGAACTTTCTTTAGCAATGAGCAGATCCAATGGACTCCTCACTTCAAACTACAGTAGATGTTCACAGTACTATAACAACCAACCTTATTTCACTTGAAGTCATTGATTTTATGAATTACAAACAGTTGTTGTTAATTTACTAGATGACCTTTTGTCAGGAAATGCATTCAAACATTTTGTTTGCAGAAGAACATGCTTTTTCTTTAAAATCTTTTGCAATTTATTAGCATAAATTGGTTTATTTGTTTTAGTATAAATTGGCTTATTTGCTTGTTTTAGATTATTGAGGGTGTAGCCAGTTGTGACCCCCGAGCCATTGGAGCACTGTTGTCACAGCTTGATCCTGAATTATTGCATAAACTGGCTACACTCAGTTGACCTGGAGTGCCTTCCACTGAGCAGGACACCTTGAATCGCAACCCTACACAGAGAGGTAATAGGAGACAAGATTGATTGTAAGGTTAAATAATTAAATGGTAAATTATATTTATTGTGTATGCAAAGTAAACTGCCTATGAATATCAGTTGAGAGCAGTTGCGTATGTCTACCATTTTGCAAGTATGAAAGGCTCGTATTTGTGTATAAAAATAGTAGACATTGTTTATACACATATCTAAAGTATAAGATAATGTTTAAACATATGTTGTTATATACAGATAAACAGTCAGTTCTTCAGTCATCTTTGGTCTATGAAAATCCTCCTTCACTGAAGTATTTTAAAAGCTAGCATATTACATGTAGAACCCAATTAATTATATCAAGCATTAAAAAACTTTTTTAACAGAAACTAATTTTAAAAAACTTATCACTCGTGAAATATTTTGATATATTGTTGGTCATATTCATTGGTCTGAGTGACACAGGTAGCGTTTTGTCTCTAGTCAAGAGTAATTGCAAGTGAACCACTTGATTTAATATATCTCCACAGAGTTGTGTCAATCCATCTAGACTGATCATGTGTCTTTGGGAATTGGGCCTTAGGAGACTACAGCATTAATGCCTATAATTTTTTTCTTCTCTAAATTAACAATAGAGGAAATTTAAATTGCAGCCTATAAGTCATAATACTTGGCCACTCTTTCAATTTAAGACATGCAACTTTACAACAGGGATGTGTTAATCCTTGTTGTAATGAGTTAGTGCGATAATTCCTTTTTCTGTCATGAAGCATAAAATTTGAATTTTCTTACTCTTATGTGAAAAGTCCTGTTTAATGGAAACTGAGTGGGAATGGATGACATCAGTGAAATTATTGGCTCTTTGAAAGATGGAAACAGTAATTTGAAACAACATGAAAAATGTGTATTTTGTATGTGTATTATTTATACAAACTTTAGTTCCTTCAATTTCTTACGGTCACTATGATAAAGGATGGTCATCATCATTGGCTGTATAATACTATGTCCTACAGAACTTAAATGATTTGGTGAGGCTAAATCAAAAACCATTGTTCAGTTCTTGATTATTCTTTTTTTGGGATAGCTATATTGCCGAAGTTGGATTTCCATGTGTTGACAGTAGTGTTTATAACTTTTGTGCATATATATATATCAATAACTGAATAAATTGGTCAATTAAGAAACTTAAAACAAGATTGTAGTTTTTTTATATTTAATCCATGTACTCACCCTAGAAACCTTCCAGAATTACAAAGTTTCATTGATGGGTCACCTACTACATTTAGTTGCCATGTCTGATATACAAAGCTGAGACAAATTTTTTCTCTAAGCATTTTATGTTTTTTTGCCTCAAGTGTTTTAAGATGCATTTGTAGTCAAATTTTTGCCACAATAGCAGCTAGATGCTAACATCTAGCTTCAAAAAGTATAAGATTAAAAAAATACCAAAGAATATAGGTTCATTTTACGCAAAAATGTTTTGCAAATATTTTCTTGCCACTTTCTGTGCTGTATGTAACTGGGGCAGATAAATAGGTCAATTTACAATCAAAAATTTCAAGAAGGTGCAGTTCTAAAGCTCTTTCATGGCAGATTAATCCAGTCAATCCCTTGGCATGGCGACTTGTATAATACACTGGTGGAATTGGTTTATGTGCATTACTGGAAACCCATTGCTCAGTTCAAATTTATCTGCATGGCTTTGAAGTAGGTGATACCCAATGAAAATTTCACTTGAACACAGTATTAACACAGATTTTAGCCAGGAAGGCAGTCCTCAAAACATCAGATGTGTTCAAGTTTAAAGTTTGTCAGCAAGAACCAGAGCTGTGCATGCCAATGGGACTTGTATGCTAAGGGACAAAGACAACCCCCATTTTAATTAACTAAATTTGCAGCGGGAGCCTACTTTTCTGCTACAGCACTCACAGGTTCAGTGTCTAATCATGCAACTTACGGACATATACGTGATAATCAACAAAACTCTTTTTTTTTTTCATTGTATTATTTATTTATCTCATTTTTTTTCTTGAGAGTTTTGCTTTGAAGTCTTTTAAAGTCTCAAAAATTGTATCTTCAGTTTCAGCAGGGTCCATATTTTAGCCCCATTTCCAGTCTATTCCTACAAAAGAAATTTAAAAATGCATCTTAAATATTAGACTATTTGACAAAAGTAATTGTTAATGACTTTTGTCAGCTTAAAAACCTTACATCATGAACTTGGCACAATTATTTAAAAGTTTCTTGGTTACAACAACTGATGCTTGCTTAAAAGAAATGACAGAATTTGTGGTTGGCCAGCATTACGGCAATATAATTATTTTAAAAAGCATGAAAAATTGGAAAAGGAAATAACACTTACTGTAGGGCATTCCATTTCTCCATCATTGATCTTGTCAATGATATCATGTGGAGGTTCCCCTTCCACAGTGCATCCTACTGACTGGGCAGTGCCTACAACAAATTACACAGCAGATATGTGAGGAAAAGACTTTGCCAAATGCTTTCTGGAAGAACAAACAGTTCTGAAACAGACTGAAAACTTCATGAAAGTTGCTTACTAACTGAATTATGCCCATCTCTAATGATAAATTATGGGTACATATTCAGCAAAAGTTGCTTATGCTGAACAAGCTTTAGACAAACAAGTCTTTACGAGCATACTAATATTCTACAAATAAATGAAGTTTTAGATTCTACTCAATACGAAAGACCATATTTAATACCAAAGACAAACCAGACAGGCCAAAATTCTCACCTAGCACTTCTTTCACTGTCCCAGAAAGATCCCTTGACATGCTTCTTGGTCTCATGATTCGAGCAATTTCAACAATCTCATCAAATGTTACATTACCACTGTGCTTAACTGAAATAAAACAAAGTCAAGTATGTAAATCTGTGGTTTCATTCCTACTTATGAAAAGAAAATTTAGAAAAGAAGAAAATGTGGGATTGCATGTGTGCTTATACACAAACATGAAGACTGTTAACAGTAGTATATTTCCTTAATGAGGGGATTTAAAGGGTTACATCAAATTCATTCTTTTTAAGCATAATAAATTGTGAGTTCTTCCAGTTTAACATCTGAGGTTCTATCTTTTTGCTACAAAAGTGAATGGATTGTACAAAATACACATGGGTCTAGACTTACTATGCTTGACCTTCTTTCTGTCTCTGGGTGGCTCCTTCAGAGCTCTGATAACCAGAGAGGAGGCACTGGGCACTACATCCACTTTAGCCTGTCTGTTCTGGACAGTCAACTGTACTGTGATCTTCAGACCTTTCCAGTCCTGAGTGGCCTTCGCGATGTCATCTCCTACTTTTTTAGGTGACTAAAAGGTAAAATAATTTTGTGTGTTTAGAGCGTACAATTACTGTTTTACACAGAGGAAATTAATCATAGCCACATATATGCCTTTTCTTTACTTCATACTTTAATTTTAATTTATTAATATTTCACACCCTATAATTAAAAGAATTAATAATCAATTCAAAATATGAATTTATTAGAACTACAGTACAAATCTATGTTTATCCCTGATTCAATAAAGCAAAGTGAATATTGATGTTCAAGACGAAATCAAATATTCATAAATACCAAACCGAGAGGTCCAATCTTGGGGGCCAAAGCAGAAGTGGCTCCTACTTCACCTCCTACAGCACGGAGGTAGACTGGAAAAGAGGGAGGAAATGTAACATTTAAGCATTTCATCAAAATAAGTAGCCTTCGAGAAATATAATAAAATCAGTAAGGATATATCATATTGTCCTTACACTTTACTGTAAATTTTAATACTAGTTACATGTACTATCAGTATCAGGTCCCCAGTAGTAGTACAAATGAAATTAAACGGGTTTTATCACAAAATCAATAGATTGAGTTGAAATGGATAAGTTACTGATCAGTAATTATAATGGGTTTTTCTTACAACAATAAAGGCGTGCTCAAACATCAATTAAATATTGGAAGGATCGTTTCTCCGAGTTGTGGTGCTGTACAAACGAGGGAATGAGCGTTTGAAACATAACATTTCATAAATAAAATACTCACTGATCTTAATTTCATTTGGATCGAATTTAGGAGGCATTCTTGTATTTATTTGCTGCTTGTAGAAGCAAGAATGGTCGGACTAGGTGTTGGATGAGCCCGATTTGGACACTACCAAAAAAGTTGCACCTGGCCGACGAATATGGCGAGTAAAGAGGAAGTTTGTGCGCAAGACAAGCCACATTAAAGCTTGTATTTCCGGTTTGAAACAAACGTTTATTTTCGTAATATTGGAGTTTTATATAATGATGTAAATAGTAAAAATATCATGTTATGTAACCACGACAATTTGTAATGTAAAAAAATCTGTCAAACACAAGTGGATAGAGAAGTAGAAAGCATGTCTTGTCTTGGCCAAAACAATATTTAGCACGTTCACCAAAAAGATTCCTCTTTGTTCAAACACACCAAGGTGATTTATAAAAGTGTTAGGTACAACTGTCCTGTCAACATCGAAGAATAAAAATTTCAAATATATATATATATATATATTTTTAATATTCGAAATCTTGGAGCTCATTAATCTTGATCTCTTGCGAATATGTAAATCCTGTCTGCGTTTTCAAGAGTCATGAAAATACAAAGAACCGCATTATGAAATGACCCCCCCCCCCACACACACACACACACCGGAATATTAAAAGAGATTTTTTCTCAGTCTGGAAACTCTACTTCTTGTTTTCAAAAGGCCAATTTTGTGTAATAGAAATATAAAGAAAAAGACGCAAAACACATTTAATTTGATTTAATGTCAAATCTTTAAAATATATATATAAGTAAATAAATAAATAAATCAAATAAAAAAATACCAAATGTAACCATATAGTTTCAAATAGAATAATTTAGAGAAATACCAAAGGGCCTTGTTTCATATTTCCCGAAAAACGATATCTGAATGGATGTCTCCTGCTTTCTTTCTATGCTATAAATATCCCTCAGCGGTCTCCTAGCTGTGAATAAGTGCTAATGCATGAGAGTGAAGAAAATGCAATGTGCGTGCAGTACTGCATTATTTGTGGGTAAAACTAAACTGGAGCGACAGTTGATCGAATAGGTCAAATTACGACATAATATTAGAAGAAGGCGCAGTTTTAAAGCTATGTTTTGGCAAAATGAAGGATTGATTTGGTTTAGACGAAGCACGTCGGCTTTATTATTTATATTCACTCCCATTAGAAACTAGTGGAAGTGACTTATGTATATGCCTTTCTAGGAATCCACGCTCACTTTATTTGAAACTTTAAAGCAAAAAGTAATATTTTTTCCATTATTAAAACAAATGGGCTTAAAAATAATTTAAAACCCCGAAAGTAAATGACTATAAAATTGAGGTGATTAATTCTTGGTGACTATTTTAAAAGAGTATGTTTCTATATATATATATATAAAAAAGGTGGCAAATTTACAGTATGGACAAAGTCATCAAGGTCTACCTTTGCTTTACAATGTGGTAGTTGCGACTAGATCACGGGTCTCGTCTCGACTATTGATTGTGATGAGATGTGGATATAACAGAATCGCTGACAGAATCAACAATAGAATTGGGATTGTTCAAGATTAACTGTAAAATCAAGCGAGATTTCGCTGGATTTGGAGGAGCGCGGGATTAGATATAAAAATCGCAATCTAGCGAACACAGCACGGCATCGAATAAAAACTGACAGAATTCATTCATTGGTATTCTTCTAGTTTTGTAAAAACCGTGTAAAACAAAAGACTGACACACTACAGTTTGGATTCACCATGTTTTGCGTGTCACTTTATATATTTTAAGGCGACATTCCCGGGGCATAGAATTTTACCCTTATCAATAAAAAGTTAACCCTACTCTGTCACGCAGATTCTCGCACGGTTTCTCATATAACCTGCAATTATGCCGAATGCTCAGACTGCTTTGTTGATCTAGGGTCATCTCGCATGATTCCCAATTAACATGGTATCAACTTGCAATGATGACGTTGATTTTCCAGGTTTTGCATCTCAGTGACAGAATGAAAACTAAGACGGACTATAACCTAGGTAAGAACATAAAAAGTGAGTCACCTGTGATTAATGAGTGTTAGTTTGAAATACGTGGAATTACTGAAGCACGCTCACAGCTCACAACATACGTAGTTTGCAAAACGGTGGCAAACGTTAGCCTAGGCTAGACACGTGGCTTATGTCCTGAAACTTTTTAATTTATATATTGTATATTTAATGGGTTTTTAATTCAGGTGCTGCTAATGTCTTCTGGATCTGACTATATATACCACAGCAGTTGCAAGCCTGTTATGGTTAAAGACACGGAAAAGAGGATGGTTAACTGTATTATCATGTCAAAATATATTAATTCAGTGTGTTTGTGTATTTCAGCAAATTCCTACAGGCTATAGCTCTCGTGAATTGACTACAAAACTTCATCTCTTATTGGTGTTTAGAGAATAATCAGCCATTTCAGCATGATTTGTGACTAAGTCAAATTTGCTCTATACACAGTGTGTAACCAATAATTGTGCAGCTGACCATATCTGATACCACAGGTAAGCTTCAGAAAAATTCCAGTCCAGCCCGACTCGCCCCTTTCTGCTTGAATGAAGCATGAAGGAAATGTTCAATTTTCAGTCAATGTATTACAATTCCTATAAGATTACATAGTTTGCTGTGCTATCAGTTGAGCTCTCCTATGTGTACACACAGATGTGTGGGGCGTATTGATTGGTCGGCTGCTTCTCTAGTACTAAAACTACAAAATGTATTGACAAGCTTGCCTATTACATTTTCAGCATTGGTATTAGTCTGTGCAGGCAATTTTTCTATAAAATCTAGATTCAGTTCTTATTTGTCTCCATTTGTTTTATGTTGCCAGATGTGAGAACCGCAGTGCTTACCACTATCTTTCATCAGGAAGTGAAAAACATATTGAAGTGCGTAGAGGTGAGTGATTGAAAATGTTAGAGCTTTCCACTTTATAGAAATATTATTGACATTAATCGTGGAGACTGCTGCTGGACTTACAAGCTTTAGCATTGACATCTACTGGAATCAATTTTACCAGATCAGGCTAGGCATTCCCATTCTGGGATTTATTCAGGATTTGAAGCTCATCTTTATAGCTGCTTAACACATGCTTGGAACACTAACTGGTAATGCAAACACTGTAGCCTTAAATCAGGATATAGCAACCAATCATTGGGCCTTAATGTGACAGTAACAAATTGTAAGTATTGACTTAAGATGCACAGTGCATTTCTTCGATTGGCATTTATTCCCCATGTGTGGAGCCATATAAAGGACTTAAATGTGTGACATGCTGAAACTGTCCAGAATGGTTTCCCTTGTTTGTGTTGTGAAAAGTGATGTGAGTATAGTTGCAAAAATGAAAATTTTCAAAGGATTTTTAAAGGTAAAATAGATTTTTTTAAAAGAAAGTAAATATACTGTTATGAAGTGGATCTCCAGTATATACTGTAATAAGTTAGTAATTAATGTTGTCATGGATTGAGAAATATGTTAGAGGTTTAATGAAATAAGTTTTTGCTTGTTATGCATCAAGTTCTGAAACTATTTCTCTCCTAGAGCCCAAGAATTACTAAGTGACTTTTTAGTGGAATTTAATAATGATCACGCCTATTTGTGCGGTTTGTGACAGTTTATCAATTATTTCAGCTAACAGCACCATTTTTCTTCCCATGCAATTAGAGTTCAATGCAGAGGATGGTGAGAACAGACATGCACACTTGGTCGTAGAAATTGTAGCTGATTGAATGAATACATTCTTTTTATATCAGCTTTGATCTCAGAGAAACAAAGATTGATTTCCTCCAATATCTAGAAATATTGTTTGGAGGAAATATTAGGTGTCTGTGGTTGGAAATAGTTTTTGTCTCTTTAGTTTGTGGCATGTCCATAGTGTCTCCATGCAGAGACCTGTTTTACACAATGGCTGAATTTTAGAGCTTTTAGAGGCTGTTCAGGTAAAAATCTACCCCCCCCCCACACACACACACAAACATGCACATTATTTAGGTTAAATGCACATTAGTTAGGTACGATTCTTTGCGGTCTTGCTAAAGGTAGATTAACATTTTTAATTAGACCTGGTCCCTGATTCTGAACTCTGCATAAGAGTCTGGGTTTGATTGCAATTCATGGCCAACTGTTATACATGGTCATGATGTGTAAGTGCGCAATGGGGGCTCTGGGGGTTGGAACAACCGCATTGTTTTGCCTGAAAAAGGTCTGCTCTGGGTAAAATTCGATCTGTGTACACAAATATTAAATGATTAAAGGTACACTCTGAGAAAAAGACCCTCCATCTTAAAAATTTGTTAGATTTGGGCCTGGGATTCATGAGTATGTCTGAAATGCATAATTTCAGAGATGGACCCTAAATCCTGATTCTCTGACTCATTTCCTTCTTGATACCTGTTATTTTAAACACAAGTGTGCAATGTTGATAAGAAAATATATTAGGTCAGATGCTATACTGTTACTGTAACTCATTTCCCTTATATGATAACTATATTATAACATAATTATGCAATTTTCATGGATATATATATATATATATATATATATATATATATATATATATATATATATATATATATATATATATATATATAAAGATGTCAGAGCTTGTGCTAACATTTGATTTTCCAGTGTCTGAGAATTTTATATGTTTATAATTTATTTTTTGGAATTTATACATGTATTTATTATTATTATTTTTTTATTTTGGTGAAATTGTTTATTTTGCCAGAAAAGAAATGCTGTTAGCAGTAGCTCACATTGTATAGTGCATGTTAGGATTGCTCATTGCAAAGAGCAGTTCAGAATTAGGAGTCTGCTCTTTAAAATGGTAGGATTGATTTCCACTGCCCCACAAAGCCAGACAAGATCTTTATTATCACCTTCTGCATAATTTTGTGTACGTCTGTAGGTCACTGGTCACAGAGATATTTAAAACGTTTAGGGATATCATGGCAATATTAAATGTCTATTATTCTCTTTTGGTTTATTAATGACATAAGAGTTGTTTGTGGCAGTGGGATTTAGATAGGTTTTCATGTTGACATTTCCACAGTCTTTTTATTTGTGGGGGTGGAAGTGGGTGGGTGGGTATTTTTCAGAAAAGTGGCATCTTTCATATTTTGTCAGTTGTTTAAAAAGCTGCTGTTAGAGCTTTTAATTGTAATTAGATGTAGGTAATTACAAAAATTTGATTTAGACCTCAGTGTATTGTTGGTCTTATAACTTTTCTATTCATTTGGTGACCTCAAAATGATTTCAGGTTTGAGAATGTTTATATATCTCACACGTCTTGATTTAAAAACTGCTGACATGTCAGTCTTAGTTTTCTATTGCTGGTATTGATTAATTGTTGCAAACAACATGGGAACTTACTTTGAATACAATATCAATATAGGCGGTGATTATCTAAAACAGTTTTCATGCTCGTTTGTCAGTTCCTTTCCTTACAAATGCATTGTTTCATGTCTACAGGTTACCATAGGCATTGGCAGGTAGGAGAAGAAAGCATATTGATTTAACACTAGTTTCTGCTCTGGTAAAACTATATTGTCCATCACAGGACCCCTTGATTACTAAAGTATTGAACTTAGGACCTGGATTATTGGAGAAGCATATTGATCATACACTGCCTTGGCCTTGACCATCACATTGGGGCTGGGTAAAGAGTGTATTGATCTGTTCTGTAATCATTGCTCTGACTATGATAGTAATGATTTTCCACCTTACTGAAGCATATTATGTGGAAACACAGCAGCTACTTTGCAGTTTCATTGTTATAAAAAGCTTTTAGATATTTGTATTTTTAAAAATGTAGATGTATCATGTAGATACATGTAATTATAAAGATATTCAGCAAGTTTTTGTTTTTTCTCACTTGCTCACCACTTATTTTTGTCTCACATGTTTTGAAAATTATATCCTTTGATAATTGAATAATAGAAAATTGCTTAACCATTTGGAAGTTTTTCAATAAGCCCGACATTTGGTTTTGGCATTGTTTGATAAAGAAAGGGATCTGCTGGTACAAATGGCTTGGTCTGGAAGCTATTTTAATCACTGTATTAGTAATATTTGTATGGTGTTTATTGGTATTTAGCTGTGTCTATGAGCAAGTGACCAGCTGATAACAGCATGCTATGGCTGAGCAGGCAGAGGATAATAGAGGAAACTGAAGTTAATTTAAACATCAGACAGAGCATATTCTTCCTCTGCAGTGAATTGAAAGTACAGAAATAAAAGTTACTGATCCAAGTAAATGCCATGTGCTGTGCAATTAGGGAGTAAATCAGCAGAGCAAAGGAAGTAATCATCTTAATCAACAGATAGATTTCAGCTTACAAATCTCCATCACTGGCTTTTTTTAACTGGATTAATGTAACAAAATGTCCATATTTGAGATTGAATGCCACTGTAATAGAATTGTAATAGTGATTTTGACATGTACTTATGTGGATTTGGTTGGATATTTTAATAATTATTAAATGCTTAATTGCCATTGATTGACAAAGAAAGTCTCCCACCCCCCCACCCCCGAAAAGAGATTTTTAGGCAGGGGATACAAATTATTAAAGCCTAAGAAAGGGAAAGAAACTGAAGAAATAAGAATTGATCTTGTTATCAATACCTTTCCCTTTGTACCCTTCACAACTGCACCTAATACTCCAACATTCAAATCTGCAAATACATTTTTCATAGAATTTATTTTTGTTTGTCCTAAATGAAATCCATTTTGAGTCCCATTGCAAGACTTCAATTTTAGTGTTTCAAATTCACAACTATCAACAAAATTTAAATTATAGCAGATTTTAGTTATGTAATGGTAATCAGTTTATATTAAATGCTTACAAGATGGACACCTGATAGACAGCTACATTTTTGTACTGGGAAATGTTCTGTCTGTCAAAAAGGTCAATATGGTAAAGGAGTGCACCTGGGCCATAAAGGGGCTCATTAAGAACAAATCATTGGATTTAACCAACAATGAATCGAAGGGCAATTTGATCAATGCATAATTCTTGAACTCTGAATGGACGCGTACATAACATTCAATATTTCTAGGGTTCTCGGTGACCAGTATAGATTAAGATGTTTTGTATGGACTTCAAAGGTTGGGAATGTGAAGTTGGGGAAATTGAATGGAATCTTTGACCCTATGTATCACTTTTTACTACAAGTTCAAGTGCACTGTTCTGTGTGTTATTCAGTACCATGGTGTACATCTGTTTTAATTACTTTCTGGACCAAATTGGATATCAAGATTAGGAGCTTGGCAAATCACTCTTGTGCTTGCTTGATTGTTAAGTTGAAACGCGACGATCAATTGAAATTCCAGATTAAGATTTGCCTAATGTGCCCTTGGAGTCATTAAGGGCTTAATTAGGAAGTGCTCTATTTCTTTCACTGAACTTCAGGTACAAAGCACTGCCTGTCACCCTTACCTGGCCCTACCCCCATATTCGCATTTGTTGGTAATAATGTTACTGCTGTGATTGTTTAGTTGTCATGCCAGCTTACTTCACACATTGACAATCCCACCAAGCCACTTAAGGTCCTCTTGGATTGTGTTATCTCTCCTTCACGGCTCAATTCAGCCATGCATATACTGTTAATCAATATGCCATCCAGGTTTGCTTTGGTGAGGCTATAAAGCCTCCTAACATAGGCCAGGATTATGGCTGATCAATACAGTATTGCAAAACTGTCCACAGCATTATGGATTCCAACTGGGGAGAGTTGTGTTTGGACTAACTGTATTTGGATTTTTCCCATTCATCGTTTTGATCGTTTTTTTTTAAAGGCTATATCATAATCTAAAGACACTGGCAGGATACGTATTGCATTCAGAAACAGTTCAAACTTATGTGGTAAGTGTGGTGGATTCTTAGTGAAGAATAATTTTT